GATAGCCTTGGAGAGCGGCTCATCTCGCCATCGCTCGGACGTCCATTCCTCGTGTATTTTTCGATTTCGTGCGTGATTGTTTGTTCGCCAAATGATCAAGGATGGTCCTCGATGGCCGTCGCCGAGCAAAAAATGCTGCACACGTCCGAGCGATGCCAAGTCATCCTTACTCTGCGGGCTGACCGCACCGCCGTCGACGAGGTCGGGGCCCGCCCTGCCCAAAGCGGAGGCGGCCGCCGACAGATCTGCCTCACAAGGGCGACGGGCGGCGGGCATCTGTCCACGCCCGACCGCCACAGCTGGCCATCGCTCGGACGTCCATTCCCTGTGCTTTTTTCGGTTTCGTGCGTGGTTTTTGTCGCCAGAGGATCAAGGATGCTCCTGCCCTGCCCCGGCGGAGGCGGCCGCCGACGTCTGCCTCACGGGCGACGGGCGGCGGGCAGGTCCACGCCCGACCGCCACAACTGGCCATCGCTCGGACGTCCATTCCCTGTGCTTTTTTTCGGTTTCGTGCGTGGCTTTTTCGCCCGAGGATCAAGGATGCTCCTCGATGGTCCTCGCCGAAGGAAACATGCACACGTCCGAGCGATGCCAAGACAGTCCTCGGTGGCAACTCGTGGGAGCCTCCCATACCATCGTGTCGGCTCTTGCGAAATCGAGGCTGGATCGACGCTTAATCGGCGCTGGATCGATGCCAAGCCGATGCGAATCGACGCCGACCCCCACCAAATCGGCGAGACTCCAGCCGCTAATCGACGCGAGCCGACGCCAAAGGCGGAATTACAGGGTGTACCGGGCTTCCATGATTTGCTACCCTAGGGCTCCCAACTTCGCGCTTCGCGCTCCGCGAAGCGCGAAGCGCGAATAACTTCGCGCTCTCGCGCCGCCCCCCCAAAGGGAGAAAAGGAGGACGAGGAGGAGGGGGGAGAAAGAACGAGGACCGCGAAGCGCGAAGCGCGAATAACTTCGCGCCCTCGGGGGAGCCCTTGCTACCGAGCCCATCCGTGGGCGCGGTTCCCAGTGGAGCATCCGCGCAGCGCCGCCCCGAATCCATTGGGCCGAGGCCGAGAAGCCAACTGGCCTCGAGCTCACCCCAGAATCCCCGAGGCGGACACGGGCCAAAAGAGACGACAATCTCAGGGATGATGCGCCCTGAAGTGAGACGCTGGTCCACGGAGAGGAAGCAAAGTTGGCACTGCTGGTCCCGTGCTAAAGATAGCCCTGCGCATGAAGCGTTTTGCGGATCATCGGGGATCTACTGACCTGGGTCAATCTAAACCCGCGTCAGTCAGGCCGTGCGGGATCCAGCAAGATTCGGGAGCGGCCAAGAGGGGGGTGTCCAAGAGGGGGGGGTGCAAATCACGAAAATAAGAAGAGGCGCCATGACATCTGGGGAAATATCACGGCCCCCGCCATGATATCCACTCCCCCCTAGTCATCACCCCCCTATTTTCCGCCCCCGAAAGATCCTGCAGGGCCCTGCGCCCGCCCGAACCCCGGGTCCCTGCGACGACACTGCAGAGGATCCGGCGCTCCGACGGACCCCCCCTTTGCATCGACCCCCGTCTCTCGAGCCCCAAGATCGGGCGGGTGGGGGTGGCCCAAATGGGGGGGTGCAGAGAAGGGCCCGAAAAGGGCAATTCGAGGCCCCGTACAGGGCAGCTTTTAATACATAGGATTTTGAAAAATGCTGGATTTTTAGTACATGATGAATGCATGAATAAATTCATGCATGAACTCGTCGTTGTTTTTATTACTAAATCCCTGCATTTTTAATACATGCTCCGCACGCGGAGCATGTCTTAAAAACGGCACTGTATGGGCCCCTGGTGGCTCCAGAAGGGGCCCTGCAGTGCCTCTTTAGGACGCTTGTCTTCACCCCCCATCTGGGCCACCCTCCATTACCACCCGCCCGACACGATCCACAGCACCGCCTGTCCTGGCCTCCCTCCCTTCCTCTTCTTCTCTGCCCTCCTCACGCCGGGGCGGTGGACGTCCAGAGCAGCCCAAGAGCGGTCCCCGGGCCCCTCCCAGGGTCCGAGCGCGCCAGATTTACGAGCTGCGGCCAGCCGTGGCGCAGGCGAGCGACGCCGGAAAACGAGCTCGGCTGCGGCGGCAGTCGCGCGTAAACTTCCCGCGCAAGGTCGCGGGTGAGCGCCCTTTTCAAAAGTGCAGCGTGCCACGCCGGCGGCCTGCGTGAGCCGCGGCGTAAGGTCGCTCTGCCACCTCGCGCAAGACCCGTGGCAGCCAGATGTGAGCACTACCCTTGCGGGTCAGATTTCTGCAACGCAGCTGCTGGCAATGAAGAGAGGCTCAACACACTGCTGAGCCACAGGCCACAGAGTGAGTGGGAAGCCGTTGTGAAGGAGCATTGCCATAACGGCGGTTAGCGTTTTTCCCGTACTAATGTGCCGTTTTTGTGCACGCAGTCTCTTGCTTGCTTGCTTGCTTGGCGTGGGGCTCAGGATGCGTTGCCAATGCGAAACATGTCTGCAGTCGAGTGTCGGGGGCGCGCGCAAACATGGATGAGCGATCCTTACCAGCCTCGAACGTATCCCTATCCCGAAGACTGACACGCCAAAAGGCGAGGACAATCTTAGGGATTCGCCCTCAAAAAATAAGGGAATCCCTAAGATTGGCATCGTGATGAGGAGGTGCCCAGCATAGGGAGAGGGATATGTTCCAGGCTGGTAAGATCCATGAGCTTGGAGCGCCGTCGCCCCACCCATGGATCGGGGGAGGTGCCCTCCCCAAAATGCGACCGGTGCCGCCTCGTTCGGCGGCGGAACTACGCGATTTCCAATGGAAACGGGACCCGTCGCTAATCCACGCCCCCTTGACCCATGTCTACAATCGCCCGAGAAGGAACCCCAGCGGGGGGGAGCGGGGCCAATGTAGCCCCCGCACCAGGTTGACCCGCAGGCGTGGGGGGCACATGCCGCCCGCCCGCGACAACGCCCAGTGGCGACTCGGGTGCCGGACTCCCGGGCCTCCGGCATGTATTAGAGGAACAGGAAACAGCACAAACATGAACTTTGGGAGGTCGTCGCAGATTTCTTGGATCTGCGCTGGTCCCCTCTCCCTGGCGCGCGGAGCGCGCCAGGGGCGGCGCCGGAGGCGCCGCCAGGGGGGACCCAGCGCGGAGCCGGGAAGTGCGCGCGGAGCGCCCTAAAAATTATGCTTATGCAGTTTTGTCTTCCTCGAGATGTGCCACTCCTGTGACGGGCAACGATAAGAGGGGACTGGCACAGGGGGGGATGCATCGACCTGGAATCGGTGATACATCGCCGATGGATCGGCGATGGGCCTCCGATCGTGCATCTGCACCTTCCTGGGCAGGTTGAGGCTATCGGGCCCCCATCGGCGATCAATGGGCGATTGGGGGTCGATGCATCCCCCCCTATTTTTATCCCCCCCTATCGTTGCTCCCGAACTCCTGCGCCGCCGCCAGCAACTCCTTCAGCTCCGGCGGCGCGCAGAGCACGGCGAGCCGGGCCGCCGGCAGCGGGCCCGCGCACTCGCCGCCAGCGATGGGCACGTTTTCCACCACCACTACCAAAGGTAGGACGGGGCAGCAGGGAGGATGGGGATGTCCTCCTTTTTCTCCTCCTCCTCCTCCTCCTCCTCCTCCTCCTCCTCCTCCTCCTCCTCCTCCTCCTCCTCCTCCTCCTCCTCCTCCTCCTCCTCCTCCTCCCCATCCTCCCCATCCTCACCCTCATCCCAATCCTCATCTTCATCCTCATTGAGAACCTTGTGAGAGCATGGATCCAAGAGTTTTTCGTATTGACTCGCGTTTTTGGCGGCTTAGCTTTCCAAGCTGCCAAATATTTAAAAACTCACGCATGCTTTGTTGTATTTGTCACAATGGGCTGGTGTTTGTCTTACAAATACTGCGGTCCCACGGTCGATTTTCATAGGTTGGTTGTTGCTTTTTCAAGATTCGCGCATCGCCGCTTACAAAAACAACAGAGGAGAAACCGCCCGACGACGACGACGAGCTGAGGGGCAGGAGAAGGATGAAGGGCAAGGCAGGAGAAGGACAACAAGGAGTACCAGTCGTGTTTTTTCAAAGCCTGGGGACTAGGCACATGTATCTCAGCAAACGTCTGCACCACCCTTTTTTTCTCATCATCCTCGTTGTTTTTTGTCTCAGTCTCAATCCTCCCGATTTCGAGGTTGTCAACGCTGGGAAACTGCGGCGGTCGCAGAGCAGTCGGGAACGGCGTTCAGACTTAGGCTTCAGCAAACCCCATGCCTCCTCCTTATGCACACACACACACACACACACACTCGGCACGCCTCTATGCTCACCTAGTGAAAACTCGTGTGGCGCTGAGTGGGAGCTGAGCTGGAGTCAGAAGATGGGTGATTGGGCGAGTTTCAGACGAGGGGTACGCAGGAGGGGGGAGAGAGTCAGCCACGCGAGCGCTCAACTGCCAATGGCACCAGATCCGGCACCTCCGAGGAGTACTTCAAAAAGCTCGCAGCCTCGCAGCTGGAGGGGGTACATTCTCACGGTTTGGGGACGACGAGGAGATATGAGAAGGTGGGCGCTTAGGGGGTTAGGAGTTAGGAGGAGGATGTGGTGCGCTTGCGAAGCTACCGAGCCGAAAGGGCACATGTCAGGCAGGAGCTCATTTAGAAGCGAACATAGCAGCCTTGGAAACACGAGGCTTTTTGGAAGGTATATCGCCTTCCTTGGACAAAAAAACGCCGCGTCTGCATCCACGTCATTGAGCGCCCTCCTCAAAGGCTTGCCAATGGAATCTGATTCAGCGATCCCGACGAGAGTTGGGAGAGCACACAGGAAGTCATACTTCTTGTCATTCACAATGATCTGCGTAGCCCAGGGCGTGTACTTGACATAGTGCGTGGGGACCTCTGGAGGCACGACGCTCGGCTTCGCCTTGGCCTTGGCCGAGGCCTTGGCCTTGGCCTTGGGCGTTGCCACTGGCTTGACGTACCAGCCATAGCACGCATCGCTCGTCAAGCATTCGAGGTGTCCAGTCCCATCGAGCAACAGATCAACGCCATGGCTGCAGCCCAGGTGGATCAATTTTCGGCGCGCAACGTTCTTAGCCACGGCCCTTGCCACGACCCTGCCCCACATGAGGAAGTCAGATTTGCCATCCGAAGCCTGGAGAATATCCTCGATCTTCTGGTTGCCAGCCTTGTCGGTACCCAATGTGGCGTAGGCATCGCCGTGGGCGCTCAGGCATGCCCCGCCAGCAGCTGCAAGTTCAAGCAGCTTCGCGACGATCGCGCAGCTGCTAAGGTCTCCCACGTCGGTAGCTCCCGACTTCTCCTTAAACTTCACCAGTACCGAATCGTCTCCTCCAAGGATCAACCCGTCGCCACTGCACACGGCCAGCGACTTCTCGAACGCGCCCCCCCCCCCCGTCCTCGACATTCGTCGCCTCGCCCTCGATGGCGCGCGCGAAGATGGTGGACACCTCGGCCGCGCCTCTCTTGTCCTGGCCGGCTTCGTCTGCGGCGCCAAGCGCGACAAGTTGACCGTCAGGGTTTTGTTTCCCCTTTCTCTTCGGGGACAGCTGCTGCTTTGGAACCAGAGCGGCGCGTAGGCGGCGGCACAGCGCTGCTGCGGCCACGCCAGTTGACACGCCAACTCCGCACAACTCAGCTGCCTGCGCCTCGTCCTGGTGGCCCTTCTGAAATTTGGCAGCGAGCTTCATCTCGACCCCACCGCGCTCCGCAGGAAAGACGCTGAGGTTCGGGCACTCGAGCTTGGACGCCTTAGCTGCCTGAGCGAGCTCCACCGAAGTCATCTTCTGAAGCCTGAGGGCGCACTCGCTGTTCTTGACGTTGAACTCTGCCAGGTTGTACGTCGCTATGAACTGGCGGCAAGCAAACAACTCATTCATCAGCTTCTTGGCGAACGACTCCGTCACACGGTTATCTGGGCTGTCCTCCACCACCTTGGGAAATTCCAAGAAGTCCGAGTTTAGCAGGCTTTCAGCGAATGCCGACACTTGCCTCGGCACGAGAGTCCGCATCGCAATTGCAGTGCTGTCAGGTTCAACCATGCGCCTGAATGGCGCGGCGCCCATCCTCAGCACGATGATGCGCCAGTACTTCGCATGAAGAGTCCTGAGGGGCGGCAGGAAAAGAAGAGCCCATGCAAACCAGACAAAGAGAATGAGCAGGAGAATGTGTCGAAGCAAATAAGAGGGAGGCAATGGCCCTGATAGCGTCGCGCGCGACCCCCAGGGCCTCCAACGACTTGAACGCGTCAGCGCATGCCGAAGAGGCCTCTGCGCTGAACAACGCCTCGAAGCCAGATTGCTTCTTCAGGCGATCCATGGCGTCGAAGACGCAGGCGAGGTCGTCGGGCAGGAGGTGCGAGATGTGCGACCAAGCCGCCGCAGGCACAATCGCGCTAATCTCGGCGTCGTCGAAGTAGCTGCTGTCGCACCTCAGCTCGCCCACGCTCGTCATCGCCCCCATCAGTGCCGAGTTGGTAGCCGACGTGACGCCCATCTGGCAGTTCGGGTCCGAGTCGACCTTGCTGGCGTTGAAGAAAGCAACTCCCTTCTGCAACGCGCTGGCGCTGCCCTCATTCGCCAAGAACGCAACCGCCTCAGCCGAACTCCAGGACTCCACTGCCTTCTTGCACGGCTGCTCGTCGGTATTCGGCACGACGTCGGAGTCCTCGAAGTCGGGGTCCTCGATCTCCCAGTTTGCAGTGGTCCGGGAAGCTGCATACTTCTTGATCGTCCACCGAAGGGCCGCCCAACTCGAAAGCGCCTTGGGGGCGAACGGCTCGTCTGACTTCGCATGCACAGTCACCGTGATCGAGCCTGTCAGCACGGAAGTATAACACATCGCTGCGACGACGTCCGCTTCCTCGGCAGCCATGCGGTAAGTCACCTTGCACTGATTGGCCAAGACGTCGATGAGGGCCACCACGGCATCACCCTGCTGGGATTCCTCCACGAGGGCTCGTTGCGGAGAAGCGATATTCTGCTTCCATGATGCAGCAGCTTTCTCTGCAGCTTGCTGCGCTTTCTACTGTGGTTTGATGGCCTCGTCCGTGATATGTTGCACCAGCTTGTCGCTATTCACGGGCGGCACCAACGCCGCCACTGCGTCCTCGGACAACGAAGCGACATGCGCAAAGCCGTTCTGAAGCAAGCCGCACTTCCGCGCCTTCGGCAAACGAGGCAGGAGGCACTTCAGAATCTCCAGCGCGAGGTCGGGGTGCGACCAACCAATGGCCTTAAGGACTGCGCGGGTGTGCTTGAAAATGTTATGCCTGGTCATATCAGCCTGGACTGCGGGAAAGTCCGCGGAGCGCTGGCACCACTCGTTGTACGCAAGCCACAGAGTATCGCCATTATTGAGCTTGATCCGGCTTGCATTTCTGAAGAACGAAGCGCACTTCTCGAACACGTTGATATATGGCCACCTGGGGTTACTCTTAGTCGAGCCGCTGCCGCCGCCCTTGAACATAGAATTGACGCGCTGAAGCTTCTTGGATTCGCAAACGCCCTGCCCGAGACCCTTGACCGCCCAGATCTTGTCGGAAGCGTCGCACGCGCGTGCCCAGCTGGCGGAGGCTCCCTCAGAAGAACGGTACACTTGCAAAAATGTCATCCTCGACGCTTCTGTATTCGTGTCGTTCCCCAACGAGACCAGGTAGTCCACCACGAAGTCTGGCATGTCGAAGCGGTAGACTCTGCAGTCCTTAATCCCGTTCACGACAGGCGAGCGAACTCTGGCGTTGTCCGCGTTCTTCGGGCCCTCACGCGCAAGCTGGCGCCCTTCCATCAAGGGCGCCCAGCGCAGGAAGCAAATCGGCGAGGTAGGAGAGATGACGAAGGTCTGCGCCTGAGGTCTCACCCACGCGCCAACGCGAACGCCGCTGTAGATCCCCTTGGTCTCGACCGACACCTTTCTGTCCCGGGTGGTTGAAGCGTCGCCTCGGTCGCTCAGCTGGCCCCGCCTGCGGAGCCAGTCGCCTTGCCCGTTCGGCAAGGAAGTAAACTGAAGCTCGGCGCTCTCTGCCATCAGGCACATCATATCCACCGCGGTCTGCAAGTCCGAACCTGGGAAGGCGGAACACGCACGCATCAGCCCGAAACCAAAAAGGTTGCCATTAGCCCTCCGGGACCAAGGAGGAGGAGGAGGAGGAGGAGGAGGAGGGGGGGGAGGAGGAGGAGTAGGGAAGGGGGGGAGGGGAGGAGGAGGGGGAGGATGAGGCGGAGGGATAGGAGGAGGAGGAGGAGGAGGAGGCCTAAGCCGTTACAGTCACTGCCCCCCCCCCCCCCCCCCCCCGCCCGGGTGCAACGCCCCCCTCCGCCCCCAAACGCGGGCGGAAGCGCTGCGCCCAGACGGGGGGGGGGGGGGGGGGGGCAGTGACTGCAACGGCCTAGGCCCGTCTGCCACCAGGAGGAGGAGGGCGCCGAGGCGACCACTTCTTTGGGAAACTGTCCTGGGGCAACGAATGAAAAATGAAAAAGGAAGACGCACTTATGTTCCCCATCGGAACCGTCTAACGACGGAATGAGCTCGCCAATCTCCTGGAACTCCCCTGAGTTGTCGAATCTGTCCTCGTGAGATATAGAAAAAACAACCTTGGCGATTGCCTCATTGACCTCTGCGTCTGGACTCGACATCGTTCTCGGTCTGAGGAGGCGCGACAGGGATACAGAAGCGCTTCGCTAAAAGCTTGAGCACACATGGGCTACGCAGGAGCACCAGCAGCAGCATGAGTCGCACGCCAGAGCGACCCTTCAGTCTCCCATCAGCCCAGCCACTTGGGTCAGGACGTTCCAACGAGTGCCAGGTCCTCGCATTGAATAGGAAGCCACGCAAAGACGGCCTCTCGTCGCCGCGACGTGATTCCCCTTCGGATACGCAAGCCGGAACGCGCTAGGATGGGTTGTACGTCCCACAGACTGTGGCATGTTCCCAGATATTTAACACAATGCTGACCGAACTCAGAACAAAAGCGATGTTTTGGAAACCCTGGTACGCTTGCATGCGTCGTTTTGAAAAAGAACTGCCTTTCATCCACGCAGGCACGCAGCACGGCTAGCCACGCCCAAGAACCTTATCATCTGGCTCGCTGTCGGGAAACCCTGGTTCAGAATACACCGTGTACCGGTACTGCTGCACCCCAAGTCAGCCGGCTGAAGGTTGACTCCTGGAGTCAGCGACCCCTCTCCGTTGACTCGAGGAGTCAACGACCACCCCCTGGCGTTGACTCCTGGAGTCAACGACCCCCCCTGGCGTTCACTCCTGGAGTCAACGACCACCCCCCCGTTGACTCGGGGAGTCAACGCCCCTCCCCCTGGCGTTGACTCCTCGAGTCAACGACCCCCCCTCCGTTGACTCGAGGAGTCAACGCCAGGGGGGGGGGCGTTGACTCCTCGAGTCAAAGGAGGGGGGTCGTTGACTCGAGGAGTCAACGCCAGGGGGTGGGGGCGTTGACTCCCCGAGTCAACGGAGGGTGGTCATTGACTCCAGGAGTCAACGCCAGGGGGGGTCGTTGACTCCTCGAGTCAACGCCAGGGGGTGGTCGTTGACTCCTCGAGTCAACGGAGAGGGGTCATTGACTCCAGGAGTCAACGCCCGGGGAGGTGTCGCTGACTCCTCGAGTCAACGGAGGGGGGTCGTCGACTCCACTTGTCAACGCCAGGGGGTGTCGCTGACTCCTCGAGTCAACGGATGGGGGCTTCAGAATCGTTGAGATCATTCAGACTAAGCAGCCATATAGTCTAGCATAGGAAATCGGTTAACAGATTCTCGATGTGCTGATGTGGCGTTTGCGTCGTGGTATACGTAGTGTTGCGTGCGTGGTGTGTCAGCATTTGGCGCGTGTGTGTTATCATGTGTTGTTGTTGTGTCATGTCTTACTCGCCTCTTCCTCAAGTCTCGCCGAACGTTGGCTCAAGCGCTGCGCAGACAAACCACGCACCGAAACGAACTCCCCCGTTCGTGTTCGCAAACCCCAGGCGGCTGAATTCCTGCAAACTTCTGTGGTGCGAAATGATCGTGGCACTGGAGATGCCAAGACGTCAAACATTCGCAGCACGTGCACCTAGCATCGGACTGTGAAAGCTCGGGGTTCCCTGAGCCCCCCTGGACAGCAAGCTTGCAAGCAACGCACGGTGAATCTACTGGGTGACCTGCATACAGTCTACATTCTTCTGATGCCCGAACTTTGACGAGCCAATCTGGGATCGCCTGACGCTCGCTCTCCCACTTGCTGCTGGCGGTGCCCTTGGACAGAAACACTGCAACGTTCGAACACAGAACGTCGCAATCAAAAAGGCTGAGGCGCAAGTAAGTGATACATTAATCGATTCTTGCTGTCCGTCCTCATCGGACGGCCGATCCTAGAAGCGAAGTCCTCCCACCTAACAAGCAGAACGCACCATCCAGAACACGCTGCCTTATATATGCCCGACAAGCCAAAACAAGCATCACCGATCCACGCTACGATGAGACCTATTGAATGCTTCTCAGACGGCTTAACGATGACCTCCCCAAGCACCCTGCAAGCACGCAGAACATCGGAGCGCCCACCGTTGCACTCATCGAGCACGCGTTTTATGACGTCGTCGCACGCTGGATCCCCAAGGACACCCTTGAGAATCAGAAACGGAAACAGTGGACGATCGCTCGCTGGCGCTGGAGGCATCTCTACATCCAAGTCGGCGCCGTCTGCGTCGGCGGCGTTGATTTCCCCTGGCTCCCCAGCGGGGTCGCTGTCGGGCAGCTTATCGGCTCCTGCAGCGGGCTCATACTCCCCCGTGCCATCCTCCTCTGACCTCAGACCTCACCCGTCCTCCTCTGTCCTCATCCTTCCTCCTCCTGGGGGTTGAGAGGCAGCAAGTTGACGGCAGCTCCTTCGAAGTCTATAACGCCCTCGTCACCGCCATGGTCGATGAATTCCTCTAAGTTCTCGGCCAGCGGATCTACCGCCTCTGGAACATCGAATTCGCTCGGGACAGGGGGAGCTGCACCGTCTGCCCCAGCGCTTGCCGACTTGGCAGGTGCAGCACGCTCAGCTCTGAGCTCGGACGAGCTGCGGCCTACGACCCTCCCGTTGTTCATCGAGCTCCACCAGACAGTGAACGCGCTCACAAGTATAGATTTCAAGCGGAGGTGTCCACTTGCTGGCGCTGGCAACCCCCTGATCACGTCGGCGACGAAGCCCCCGAACTGGAAGGTCTACAAGGGCAAACGAATCGAGACCTCAGCGTTGTCCAGGTTAAACTCTGATTGCGCGCACCAGCACGTTGAATAATGCCGACACCCAAGTAGAAATGGCTGCATCAATACATTCTGTCTGTCAAACCTGAGCTCCACCGCATAGACCACGCGCGCGTCAATGACGCAGAAACGTGAAATTGCAAACTGGACCCCATCTGGCCTCCCTGGCTGGCACGCCCCCCACAGCCACGCCCTGCGGTTCTGCACCTGCTCTATATGGAAGTTCTTGCTCTGGCCCCACAGCGACAGAGGGTGGCCACCCAGGGTCGGCGCCCGAGGAGCCTGCAATAGGAACGGGCGCACCGCCAGCGCATTGATCCGTGATGGCGCTAAAGCGCTCTGCTTCATCGCCTCTGTCGCGGATAGCCATGGCACCCGAATGGCAGACCAAACAATCATGCATCTGCGGCAACGCCCCAAGCTTTAAACACATGCGTTCGCTCGCAAGAGGAATATGAATATTAGGTGCCCTGGCTGCAATTACCTGGGGCACCGAGTTGGCTCCCTGACGGCGGGCGCTAGTCACTGGGTTCCATCTTTGGGAACTCTTTGGCATGACCCCCGTGGGCCCTGGATCCAACGCCGACAAAACAAGTCTAAAACTTTCGCGGCCTCCAAGTTCTAGCGCCCGCAGGACCTCGACCCTCTGAGTATCTGGGCGCCACTGTGAGCGGACCAGCAAGAAAACTGAATACAACTCCTGCGAGCAGTAGCCTGTCTCGGCCACGGCGCGGAACTCCGCGGAGCACTTGCTGAAGAGTTTCTGGGCGAGGTCGCTGAGCGGGCGCCGCGGGCCCCCAGGGCGACCAGCTCGTGCCAGTAGCAGCTGAACGACGCCCTTCCTGCGCTCACACCTGACGCACGGGCTCTCCCCCACGCATAATAAGAGCAGCGCAGGGAAATCGGTCGCGCCTTCCCTGATTATCATGTCCCACTGACACACGCTTGCAATGACGAGCGTGATTGCAGGCGCTCTGGCATCGCTGACGTACCCCTCTGGAACTGATGGCCAGAGAGCTGCCTGCTTTGGCACCCTGGCGCCAGAGCGACAATCAGTCGTCTAAGGGCCCGTCGCTTCCTGCAGCCGGCTGGCGCCCAGCTCGACGCGCGCATCTCCATGGCGCAGGGAAGTCACCCCTTAGCTCCGCCTCTTGAAAACTGACGAGCCTCGACATCACAGTTGGCCCCAAGTACGCTTGGCCACCAGCGTTGTCGACGTTCGCGTTGAACTCCCTCGCCTGAGATTGGATCCAGAGGTGGAAGTGTCGAAGCGGCCCCAGCGCAACGGTAGACGCGATTGCTTTCACTTTGAATTTACTGCCCTGGAGAGCTCGCACTGACAAGAGCCTGACTTGCCCGGCTTCGCTTCGGTTCCGATCGGCCTCGCCTGCCAGAGGGCCTGTCTTCTTGCCGGCTGGTTTCTTCCGTTTCTCACCGAACACACCATCGATAACAGGAGCTAAGACAGACCGCCCCTGGACAATGATGTGCCCAATGGAACCAAGTGAACCCCAGCGCTTTTTGATTGCCCTGCCAGGTGTTTTTGCACAAACTCGAGCAGCCACCACGTCGCCGTGAATGTCAGCGCAGGTGTTCCAAATCTTAATTCCATACCAGGCATGCGCCACGTGTTAGCGATCGAAGCAACCCTCGAAACGTATTTCGCTCGATCAGGCTCTTCTCCAATTTTAAAGTCATCAAGGCCAGTGTACATCGCCAGCATCATCAACGAGAATTGGCGATGATAGCAAAACTGAAAAATGATGGCCACATTCCCAAACCCCTCCAAGCATTGCGCCATCGCACTCAATGCCCTCACGCTGTCGCCCGCGCTGTCCAGCATCATAAGAAACACCCTGAAGCCGCTGGCGGCATCAGGAGGGGCGTTGCGCCAAGACGGGCGCCCTGTTGAGTGCATCTGCATCTCCATGATTCGCTCGTTCTCCTCAGCTGCACCCGCGACAGCGCGCTGCAGATCAGCACGCGCATTCCAAACCTCCGTAACGCTGACTGCATCAACGTTCCCAGCGTTGAAATCAGCTTGGGCAACTGACGACCAGATGAAGCCGACCTGAATCTCGCTCTTCTGCGCTGCCTCCTCACTGGTTGCATCGACCACGCATGCGTGGACCTCGATGCGGAACGCGCCAGGGACAACCCCTAACGCAACATGCTGAGCATAGAAAGACCTTGTGACCATCCGTCGTACGATTGCTGCGAAGTGCTCAAATCGAACGACGACCCCAGCGTCTTTGAATCCACCCCTGCCTTCATCACCAGCAAGGGCTGCGACCCTCAAAGCACACGAAGCACGCCCAACTGTGCTCCGTTTCAGAGCGAGGGTATACCCACCAAACAGCGTTATATTCTTTCGATTGTGTCTGAAGTTGATCATCTGCGTCAGACGAACCACTTCCTGACCCTGGGATTCGACGACCATCTTCAACTCATCGTTCTTTTGCTGGAGCATTCGGCTTCGCTTCACTAGCCTACCCCTGTCCTCCTGCACGTCCTGCAGCAGCTTGTCCCTGACTGCGATTTCATAAGCAAGCTCAGCTCGTGGGACTGATGGACCCTGGTACTCTGCCAGCTGAAGGGCATCAGCCCTTCGATCGACGCAGCTGGCGTCTGAAATCGCAGCAAGAGTGTTACCGCCAGCGCCCGACGAGGTCAAAGTCAAAGCGAGGGCAACTATGGCTCTATCCTGGTCGTGCGACAGTGTCAAGGAACAAATTTTCTGGAGAGCCGGTCCGAAGAATGGTATGGGGATCGTCAGCGAAGCCTGATCTTCGAAACATCTCAAACGTCCTCTAATCGCGGCCGCGGTGACCCGATGTTCTGCAATGTCCTCGCCCAGCAGACAACGAGAAAACCGCGCAAAGTCTGAACTCTTGATGTGGCCATCCTCTGAAGCCTCAGTGACAAACTTGCAGATCTGGCGAAACACAGCTTGCGTTGGCTTGGGCATGCTGCAAATGCTTCGGCCGAAATGCTACGGATGGCCACGGTTTCACTGGAGCGTTCATTCGGTGCTTCGGCTTATCTCGAAGTTTGATGGTGTGCCTCAGAGCGTGGCCGTCTAGCTTACAAACGAATCGCCGTCGTTCGCTATCCCAACGACCATCCCCGAGACACCCTGAACGTGTTTTACTTTTCCTGGGTTCACTCTCCTACTGTGAAGCCCTCAGTCCTAAACGATCCTGGCTTGACTGCGAGCACAGTTAAAAGCTGTCCAGGGCAACCCTACTCCCACATGGGCGGCACCCGTGCACCAAGATACTGCCACCTAAAACTGCAGCAGACGCGTGTACATACCCATCGTCCCGACTACTGCTGGCATCCCTGGACTTGCCCCCTGGCCCTCCTCAAACCGCAACCCCTCACCCACTAGGCTGCTGAAAAAACAGTGGCAGCTGGACTTGAGGCTGCAACGAACTTTCAAAAACTAAGCCGTGCGCTCACTCTAATCGCTGCCACTGCCCTCTGACACAGAGGTTGCCGAGTTGACATCGACGTGTCCGAAACGGCGGAGCGGCGGAGGTGGCTGGGCTGGCGGCGGAAGCGGGCGGCGAACGGCAGAAAGCGAGGCAACTGCTCTGTTAAAGTCCTTATCTGCCTTGCGCATCGACCTCTTGAACCCTGCCTTTCTCACGCCAAGACCCTTGACCTTAGTCTTCTGGTAGTCCGTGCGAACGCGCTGAAGGGCGAGCTTACCCTGAAGGGACTCGATGGTCTTGCGTTGCTGGCGCGTTACCGTGCGCTCCTCAGAAAGCTTCTTGCGCTCCTCAGAAAGATTGGCCTTCAGCTGGCTGGCCGTCATCGCAGACTTCGGCATGGTTCTTGGGAGCTGGGGAAACTCGCACTCGTACAGCGGCCGAAACAAATCACACTACCTGACCCGACACGGCAATGGAAATGCTGCTACGATCGCAACGGCAATGGCAAACGTATTGCACAACAGTAATCAGCCCTCATCCTCCTCCACGTCCCCATTGACCTTTTGTTATTACATACGTTGCTGTGTTTGTTTGTGCATGTGAGCTAGCTGATGTCAGTATGCGTGATGTCGGACATGATGATGCCAGCGTGATGTGTGCGGACGACAATGATAATGTGTGAATGCTTGAAGTTTCGCGTATCCCCGCCAGCCCACCCAATGCAAGAATGTGTGTTTTTTTACGACGCGGTGGTTTGCGGTTGTTGTGTGTGGTTGCCTTAAATGTAGGTGCGGATGATGGTGGCTTTCGAGATCGCATTGGACGGCGCTGTATCTGATTCGTATACAGGCATGAGGGCGAACGGGGAGGAGTCAACGGCGAAAGTCGATGAATTCAGAGGTTGGCAAGGTTCTCAATCCTCATCCTCAGCATCCTCCACCTCCACCCCCCCCCCGTCTTCCTCGTTCTCCTCCTTCCCCTCCTCCTCATCATCCTCCTCCTCATCCTCCTCCTCCTACTACTCATGGTAGTGCTGGTGGGAAACCGGCCCGTCGGCCGAGGCCGCAGAACGCGGCGCGCAGGCGCTCCGCGGTGGCAGCCACTTGGCCCTCGGCGGCCATAGGCCGCCGCGGACGGGGCGGCCCCAGAGGGCTGCGGCCGCGGGTCCTGGTCTCACGGTGCGAGCGCGCACGCGGCCGCGGGGCGGATCCGCGGAGAAGGAGGAGGAGGAGGAGGAGGAGGAGGAGGAGGGGGGGCCTGAGGAGGGGGAGGAGGAGGAGGGGCCTGAGGAGGGGGAGGAGGAGGAGGAGGAGGAGGACGAGGAGGAGGAGGGGGAGGGGGAGGAGGAGGAGGAGGAGGAGGAGGAGGAGGAGGAGGAGGAGGAGGAGGAGGGTGATAAGTTTGTTTGCCTGGACGGCGACATGCACCCCCGCACACCTTCGGAGGTGGGCGAGAATTCACCGAGGGGCTAGAAAGAAAGAAAGCTCAGGGCTGGGCGCACGGGCCGAGACCAACATCTCAGCTCGCTAACGTGGCCTGAACCCGAGCCCGACTCCGACTCCAGTCGGTTTGCACGAGCCCGCGAGCCAGCAGCTTCCAAAAGCCTGAGGGTCTTGGAGACCAGGCCGAGCTGGGTTTAGCATTCCTCCCCCTCCGAAGAGGGGGGAGGCTCGAAGGAGGACGGAGCGGGGGCTTCCTCCTCCCCTTTCCTCGACCTCCTCCACTAAATCGCACCCTGGCTCAGTGTCGACGGTGACACCGCGGCGATTGAAATTGCGGCCACTGGAGATGATTTCCCACGAATGCTTTCGACCCTGGGCACCCTCCCGCGGAAGAGCAACACACAGCATCTTGCGCCCCAGTGCCGCACGGGTTGGAGCATCGTATCCTCGAATCCCGACGCCAGCACCTCCACGGCAATTGCTCACGGGCGGCTTGTACTGAGACAGAGAACATCGAAAACACGACAAGCAATGCCAAATCTGTCCCGTCCAGGACCACTGGTGCAAAGGGCCATCCTTCTTCTCACGGCTGGGCGCAAGGACGGGAACTCTCTGAACAGTCGGTCCCATGTCAACTCTCGGCCACAGTGGCATTAACCTGGCCGGCGAGAGGCCGACAGCCTTAACCACTGAGAGAGAAACCTGAAGCTTCTCCAAGTCGGCGGGGTGCGGCCCAGGATGCAACACAAGCCCCGACTTCGCCCAGACATCAACAGCTTTGTTACAGTCACGCAAGCACGCGCCCAAGCCTTAGATGGTTTCGAAACGGTCAAAGCGTTGCCTTCCGTTTTGAACTTTCGTGTTTTATGTCCGTGTTCGGTTCCGCCTTATGTTTCTGCTGATGAAAAATGGCACCGATGGTGTTTCCGTTTCCGCTGCCGTTTCCGACTCGTTTTCGATTCGTTGTCAGCGTGCCGGTTTGGTTCCAGTTCCGTCTCTCCCTCAGAGGGGGTCGGTTATCTCGCGCACCCAAGCTAGGGGCCCCTTGCATCCCCAAGTCGCCGTCGGAAGAGGCGCCTGGAGTGGAAGAGGCGCTACCGCCTTCGACGGGCACGGGCTCGGGCGGCCCGTCTGGGCACGCTATGTTTGGTTAGCGCTGCCATCCCGAACGCGCGGCCCCTGCTGACTAGCAACGTTGACTGAGACGGCTGCATCGGCTGATTGAAGCAACATGTGTTTGCCATTTTCAACTCCCCATTGCTCCCGTTGCCCGCACGCTTCGTCTTTCCGGTTTCAATACTACGTTTCTGGTACGTTTTCAGCTCACGTGCAGCCCGCCCACCAAAAAAACAGCCCCTGGAGTTCAAGCCCCACCGACGCGGCCGTCTCAGCCAAGGGTGCCAGCCAGCAGGGCCCGCTCGTGAAAAAATGGCACGACGCGACACAGCATGACTGGAGCCATCGCTGTTCCCCCACTACGCGTAGTGCCAGGGCCCGCCCACGAAAACGCGATCAGAATCGATCTCAGGACCCCTCCCAAATACCATCCTGGCTCGAGTCGCGCCCAGTCGTGGCGACGAGAGCCACACAGGACATCCAAGAGCATGCGAGGAACTCAGGCTCTCCGAGCTGCGCCTAGTCGAGGGCACTGAGAACTTCCAAAACCACCCCTCTACCCGCTCCTCCGCCTCCTCCCCCTCCTCCGCCTCCACCCCCTCATCCCCCTCCTCCCCTCCACCTCCTCCTCCTCCTCGTCCTCAACCCCGCCAGGAATGAGTTTGTCCTCGCTTTCTTTGGCACAGGGTCCGAGGGTCGTCGGCATCGAGCTCGTCCCAAGCAGATCCAGTCAGCAAGAGCCCCCACATGACATGGTCAAATACTTAGGGGGTAAGTGCCTGGAGGCTATCGACACGGCCTATGCTAGTTTGGGACGCTACTGGACTCAGGCTAAAGTTCCGTATGTGGAGAAGCGCTCGGTATTCTTGAGTAAGGTATTGGGACCTGCAGTCTCTGGGATGGAGGCGTTCATCTTCACCCCCGTCCATACAGCTAAATTACAGTCACGTGTCATTGAATATGGCCGCAATGCTATGTGAGGGGCTGCTACTATTGACACGGGGTCACATAAGAAGTCAATCGCCAATGAAGCTGCCTTGCGGCACTGGCGCATCGCACCCCTGGAGATCGAGTTGCGCTCCAGTATTCTTCGCTGGTACCAACGTTGGTCTGCTGATCCTGAGGCACATATCTCGGAGTGGGGGTGCTTTGTTAGGCACTATGAGGGTCGAGAAGCTTTACCAGGTTGACATCGTAGGAGATAATCGACTGCTTACCGAGGCGGCCTGTTCCTGGACACGTGGGTTCGTAGACGAACCCCCTGGCTGACAATGACGACCAGGCCTACTCTGTGATCCAGGATTTCGACTCCTCCCCCTCCAACCTCTTCCAGGACTCTGGCCTCACCGATTGGGTCCTCGGGCTTGACGTTAAACATATGCGGGCTCGGTGTTGAAGTGTGCAAATTCCTCCGCCAAGCTTCTCTTCTATGGCTATGTTACCCACCACGGACGGGCACCACGAGGGACCACGGGGACTCCCACGCCTCCCCCGCCCTTGGCTGCGATAGGAGCTTCGACAGTATGAGGCAACGGCTCGTGCATCTATTGAAGGCACTATTGGCAAAGCCGTTGTCACCAATCGGTGTTTCATCTGCGAGGCGACCTTCGAGTCTCGCAACTCAGCCTATCATCATGGATCCGACTCGTTCCATACGGGCGCGCGCTCGTCACAACGAAGGTCCACGTTTAGAGGGGCCCAGGTGGCTGAGGTCACCACACGCCCGTTGTGCGAGGCTCAAATCCTTCAGGCGGTTCGGCCCTCGGCCCATAGTCGTGCACAGTTCGAGATCATCCTCCTCCTCCTCCTCCTCCTCCTCCTGCTCCTCCTCCTCCTCCTCCTCCGCCTCCGCCTCCGCCTCCTCCTCCACCTCCACCTCCGCCTCCGCCTCCGCCTCCGCCTCCTCCTCCTCCTCCTCTTAGTATTATTCGTCGTATTAGTATTCGTATTATTCTTCGTATTACTAGTATTATTACTATTATTATCATTATTATGTTCATTATTATTCTTATTATTCTTGTTAGTATGATTCGTCTTCTTCGTCGTAGTACTATTATTAATAGTATGATTAGTAGTAGTATTATTATTCATAGTATTATTATTATTAGTATTACGATTATTAGTATTATGAGTACTATTATTAGTATCAGTATTAGTATTATTATTATTATTACTATTATTATTATTAATATTATTATTATTATGAGTCGTCTTCATATTCTTCCTCCTCCTCCTCCTCCTCCTGCTCCTCCTCCTCCTCCTCGAGTGGATCCCGAAGCGCAAGGCCACGGGAGAGCCCTAGGCTCCGACAGCACCAAGGACAGGAAGGCCAAGCCGGAGTCCCCCAGGGCCGGGACGGAGGCGATGTCGGGCAAGAAGGGCGGGATGCTCATGGCCCTCGTCGCTGTCCTCGCGCGCCTCTCCCCGACGAGCTCCAGGGAGCTCGCCGATCTGACAGACGCCTGTTATCATTGCTGGATCATTCCCGTCGGGGTGGCCCTCGTACCTATCATGAAGGAAGCTGGCAAGGCCTACTCAGAGGCCTGCAAGGAGACAGGAAGCAACCACACATTCGGGCATTCGTGGCCGCACATCTTCCTGAGCCTGCTGCAGCACCTGGCGTCTCTACCTCCAGCGGGCGAGAAGGTCGGCCTCACGCTCAAGCTCTACTGGAACTGCCTCATGGAAGGCAACCGCTCCCGCGAGGACTGCATCAAGATCTTCCAGGACCAGGTCAGGTACTGCCGCATCAAGGGTTGCTGGCACGACAAGAAGGAGGGCGCCAAGCCCACGCACTGCAAGTTTCATTTCATGATGTCGCCATACCTTCAGGCCAACATCACCGAGCACCAGGGCCAGAAGCTCTACACGGTCGACGCGGCGCTCGGCCTCACGATCACCCACCTGGGCGGCATCAGGAAGGCGGGCTCCGCGCCCAAAGGCGCGCTGAAGCGCGACGCGGAGAAGCTACTCCGCAAGATGAGCTTCTTGACTGCCCAGATTTCGAAGCACACCAAGGAACCAGGGGAAGAAGAGGACCAGTTGTGAGTGTGAGGGCACCAGCTCTCTTGGTTAGCATAAACATTTCTGAGAGGATGCTTCAACTTTTTAGGCAAGGTGTAGTGTCTCAAGTCTTCTAGGTTTGCAGGCCCGAGTGGGCAGACCCATCCTAGAGTACAGCTCTGGCGACAGGACCTTTCAGGACTACGCCTCGGACACAGGACCCGTCCAGCTCTCCTATGTTTTCGCCCAGTTGCAGGCTCGCTCAGCCAGAGTTGGCCACTTGACTGCTGACATCGCCACTGCTGATGTCCTAGTGCAACCAGCCCTCGCATGCACCCTCTCGCGCATCTGGCGTTCTCATCGTCCCGCCTCCCCCTGCTACTGGACCCTCAGTCGAAACGGCTGATGGACCGCAAGCGGAGAATTGGCGCTCATGTGATTTGATTTGCAGCTGAGGAGGCCTCGAGGAGGAGGGAGGAGAAGGGAGGAGGAGGAGGAGGAAGAGGAGGAGGAGGAGGAGGAGGAGGAGGAGGCCTCTCGACCCCCCTCAGGGCAGCTGGAATGGGAGGGTGCCGCAGGCGGGCCCCTCGGTGTTCCCTTCCGAGGGCCCCGCTGTGAGCCAGTGGTGTCCCCCAT